CTGATCTGACTAGTAACAGCAGTAAAAGTCCAATCTTATCCTCCTCCTCTGCCCCATTTTACTACCTTCTCTATACAATAAGACCAGGTGTAACTATCTGATTGGGTAAAGAATAAAAGCACATCCTGTTGAAAAACGATATATTTTTTGGAGATGTGTAGAATATTACATATTCTATATGTTCCTATTCAAATACATATTAAGGTGTGGCTGTCTAATGGGTTAAAAGGAACAGATGGTGTTTTTTATTCTGTACCCTGAGGACTCTGGAATGTGCTGTATAGGGAGATTGGGGGTATGGTCCTTATATGGGGAGAGTCTACATTAAAAGTTATGATGTAATTTTGCCCATAAAGGACTGAGGACAAAGGATCATGCTCTCTCTTTTTCTCCTATGATCCAATCTCCTCCTCTGGTGTGTTCCTGACTTGCCGATATTAAGACGACTACTCAAGATCTCTCACACTCTGTAACGTCATTAAGAAATACCATCGGTTAAGTATATTATTGTTTGCTTTTGAAGTATAATAAATGCATATTTTTTTATGAAGAATGTCAGATTGCATATTAGTACTTTTCATCAATATAGACGTATATTAATGTGCGAGCCTTTGACCCAAGTCTATATATACAAAAGACGTATATATCAATTAACTGGAAAAAGACACAGAAGAAGAAGATATCATTTTGAACAACTTGTGTCTGTGTCTACATTGTGACGCCTATGGAACTCTAATTTCTGTTGTTCTTGAGGCCTGCTGTCACCCCTCCACAGAGCTCCTACATAAACTAGCTTGTGTACAGCACTCTTTTGATTTTTCCAAGTGCTGGTAAGAGATTGCAGGACAAACTAGAGACTGCTAAATTACATAGAAGTTCATGGCAAAGAAGTGGTCAATTATTTAAAGAAATCTAAACGGTTTTCTTACAGATTACGTGGTCTGACCATTTGCCAGTTTCCCTATTATTGTCAGAGCAGTTTATGACTAGACGTGTGGAGATCTGGTACTTAAATGAGCGTTTACACACAGATGAGTGTTTGAAATTATATATAGACTGAATTATATAATAATTTTATTTTATTTTTAAATGATGGCCACATCGTCTCTGAGGAGACTTTATGGCTAGCACTAAAGATCTTAATTTAAGGCATGCTCATAAAGCATGCCAGCTTTGCAAAAGCACAAAGGGCTAAATTCTACATGGCACCTAATAAGCTACTTACCACACTAACTATCCTGAATAAGCAAACTTTTTCTGCAAACACATTTAGAGATATAAAGAATGTAAAGGAACAACTTCATGAACTAGAGTTGGCAAAAACTACCTTCCTACTTTGTAAACACAAAAATATTTCGAACAAGACAAGAAAGCTGGAGTAGTGCTGGCCTCTCAGTAAAGTGTAGGAGAGTAGCTTCCAGTTGAGGCTAATCCCTAGGGCACTTGGGGCAGCACCCCGCCAGTTTTTATGTGGGGGAAAAACAGGAAGGATGTATATTGAAGTTTTAATAAAGACAGGAACCCATAAAATTGCATTTTGTCCCAATGTATAAGAGATGCAAGTGCAATATACCAGTTTAAGTACCTGTAATTTTGAAACCAAAATTGAGAGCTCCTCTCAAGGAGATGAGTTTAGTTACCATATTAACCACATTAAAAAAGACCAGATATACTAGCAAAAAATGAGACACAAAGCAAATCATGACATATTCATACCCTACAGTGATAATAAAACATTATATAACTCCCCTGAGACAATCCCAACGGAAGATGCCCACAAAATAAAACATAACAATAAGCAGAAAGGTCATAAGACTCACATTAGACAGTAGATGGGGAAACATAAACTATATAAATAGACAATTGCTTAGAGGGATAAAAGTATACAATAACTGATAATAACTGATCATCATTAATAATGTAAGGTAGAGAAAGAGTAAACCGACAGGGTAGCACCAGAGACATCAAAATATGTTGGAAAATAAACACACAGCATAATCAAGAGCATACTGGCTAAGAGTTGGTATCTCCATGCATCCACCTACGAGCCATGATGGATAATTTTTTCGCGTAATTTTTCAGTAAATCTGTTTTCAATCCCCTCAGAGGCGCCTTTGATTGTTATCTCTCCCATTTGAGCAAGAGGAATCGGAAAATACTAGGGATGTTCATGGGCAAACAATTTGGTTTGGGTTTGGAAATTCAGGTACACATCTATAGGGCTTTGTGCCCGGACTGCCACCACAATCACTTACACATCTATAGGGCTCCAAGTGCCAGGACTGCCACCACAACCACTTACACATCTATAGGGCTCCAAGTGCCTGGACTGCCACCACAACCACTTACACATATATAGGGCTCCCAGTGCCAGGAATAAGCTTATCAGTCAAGATTCCTGTCATCATTCACGTAATTTTTCTCTCTTGTTTTGCCACTTTTCAGAAATCCAGAGCACTTCGTCAATTCGGACCAATGTCGTTCAGTTCAACACTTCTGAACTACCGAACTTCGGTACTTCAGCACTTAGGATATTCGTAAGCAAAGGAATGTCCAAATTGCACGAGATTCATCCGAATGAACATTCAGAATGAAACAAATTGCACATGAATAGGAAATACAAAAGTCACCTTACCAGATCATAAATCACCAGGTTCAGATGGCCTTACAGTACCCTAACAGCAATCCTTCAGTCATATTATATCCCCCTATCTACTGAAACTTATAAGTCATAGTTTTATCAGGGGACGACTGCCCACAGAGATCCTCATGACGCTCATTGTGACTCTGCCCAAACTGGGGAAGTCTCCAACATTATGTCAGAATTTCAGGCCTATCTCGCTATTGAATATAGACACAAAGCTGTATGCTAATTTAATAGTCAACTGATTATTTGGACTATCATCTAATGTCCCTAATATCTTATGGCCAATCAGGGTTTATAGCAGGCTGCCAACAATCAGACAATACCAGGTTCTTTTTTAATGTCATCTTACTACATCAAAGAGAGAAGGTCTTCTCCAAAGACTAGATGCTTAAAAGACATTCGACAGGCTCTAGTGGCAGTATATGAGATCAGTACCGTAGAGATCTGATTTTCCACAAAAAGCGGCGAGGGAAATGATGGCGTTGTATAGAGTTCCCATGGCCAGGGTGTTCAACTCCGGTTTTATGTCTCAGCCTTTTTGGACTACAAATGTGGAAAACAAGGCTGCTCATTATCGCCATTATGAATTATTCTCTCTGTAGAATATTACATATTCCATATGTTCCTATTCAAATACATATTAAGGGATAAGGTACTCTATATCTCAAAGACTCAAGCATTGCCAATCAATATAATGCAAACAGGATGAATGGAGGAGTGAGTGTCTGGTCTATCTGGGAGTGCAGATAGCAAACAAATAGCCACTTTATCCAAGTATAATCATATCCCAATATTGGTAATCCTGGCACAGGAAATTGGTAAATGAAGGGACATTAAGTTTCCCTGGGCAGGACATATTAATACAATTATGATGATACTACTTCCAAAGATTCAATACAATTTTCTCATGCTGCCCGTAAAAATTCCTACAGCTTACTGCACCAGCTAAGGAAAGAATACTCCCCACCTTGCTGTTCTCCTTCTCAACCACACGTAGATCATGCCTTCCCTACCCTTCAGACTTTCTCCCCGCTACTGAACAAGAGGTGGATGCGCTTCTGCTTTCCTCTTGCCCCACCACTTGCCCGCTCAATCCTGTCCCATCTCACCTTATCAGATCTCTCTCCCCTTGTCTTGTGCCTTCCTTAACACACATCTTTAACTGCTCTTTCTCTTCAGGCATTGTCCCTGCTGATCATGCCACTGTAGTACCTATCCTGAAAAAAACATCTCTTGACTTGTCCTCCCCCTCTAACTATCGTCCCATATCCCTGCTTCCTTTTTTCTCAAAACGTCTGGAAAGACTTATCTTTACCTGTACATCTCACTTCCTCAATTCCAACTTTCTCCTTGACCCTCTTCAATCTGACTTCCACCCTCTCCACTCTACTGTGATTGCTCTTATCCAAGTTACTAATGACCTAATCGCAGCTAAATCCAAAGGCCACTACTCCATACTAATTCTCCTTGACCTCTCTGCTACCTTTGACACTGTTAATCATGCTTTCCTTCTTCAAACTCTTCAATCACTCGTTCTTTGTGACTCTGTCCTCTCATGGTTTTCCTCTGATCTCTCCCAACGCTCATTCAGTGTCTCCTTTTCTAATGATACCTCCTCCCCTCGCCCTGTCTTGGTTGGAGTCCCCCAAGGTTCTGTCTTTGGTCCCCTTCTATTTTCTATTTATACTGCCTCTCTTGGCATTCTTCTATTTTCTATTTATACTGCCTCTCTTACCTCTTTTGGATTCCACTACCACCTGTATGTTGATGACACCCAGATATATCTCTCCTCCCCGGACCTCTCCTCTGCCATCCTCCAACGTGTCACTGCTTGCCTTTCTTCCTTCTCTGACTGGATGTCCTCCTGCTTTCTGAAACTCAATGAGCTCCTTGTCTTTCCTCCTCCTAATACTGATCCTCCTCTTTTGCTCTCCCTTCAAGTTAGTGGTATCCACATAAGTCCATCCTTGCAAGTGTGCTGTTTTGGCATCATACTTGATTCTGGCCTCACCTTTGAGCTTCACATCCAGTATGTTGCCAAATCCTGTAGATTCCATCTTAAAAACATAGCCCGCATCCACCCCTTTCTTATGCAAAATGCTTGTCCTTGATCCAGTAATTTCCAGCATGGATTATTGTAACCCTCTCCTAATTGGTCTTCCCAAAAGCCGCATTGCCCTGCTACAGTCTGTAATGAATGCTGCTGCCAGACTGATTTTCCTCTCTATTCGGTCCTCTCACACCTCACACCTCTGTCAGTCCTTACATTGGCTTCCTGTGTCCTATAGAAGTCAATTCAAAGTGCTAACCCATACCTATAAAGCACTGAACAATTCTAGCCCCTCATATCTTTTCACAGATTCATAGGTATGCCCTTTCTCGGTCTCTCCGCTATGCCCGTGACCTTCTCCTGTCCGTTGATGCAGCTTCAGTAAAAAGAGTACTGGATACCAGAAGCCATTCGCACATCCCCGTGACGGCTACTTTGTATTCGGATGTCTTCCATATCAACTTTCGATGTCAGTTTCTGCACCTACCATGTTGACCACGGGTAACAGGGAATTAGGGTTCCATTCCGTACAGGGACCCTGAGAAATGGCTACCACATGCAAGGAAGGCAGCAGGCGCGCAAATGATCCACTCCCGACGCGGGAAGGTAGTGATGACAAATAACAATACAGGACTCTTTAGAGGCCCTGTAATTGTAATGAGTCCACTTGAAATCTTTTAACTCTGATCAATTGGAGGGAAGTCTGGTGCAGAGCCACTGACCCGTGCGTGCTGCAGCTGAAACTCCACTATCGCCTGCTGCTGCTTGCACAGTCTCATGAGGCGGTGAGCGGGAATGCCGAAGTTATGCTGCAGCGCAGACAGGCGAGCAGCAGCAGGGTGAGAACGCCAAAAGCGCGCACAGCCGCTACAGTGAATGTCACATCCTGTTCCAAGTTGCAGATCAGTCTGGTGATGGCTTCTGGTATCCAGTACTCTTTTTACTGAAGCTGCATCACGGTCCTGGTATGTGGCCGCACAAATGCTGGTGCTTAACACCAGGGGGCGTGCGGTTACCCTGCACCAGACCCTGCTAATCCATTCCACACTGTGACTCCTAACTTCAACATCAGGCATACTGGGTCTCGGTCGTCTGACCGCTGCCCAGACAGTGTCTGGGTCCTGGTCACCGGACTGCCCACCTGACTGTCAAACTACGAATGGATCGTTAAATCTGGTACGAACCCGAACTTTGCAGTTCGGGTTCGCTCAACTCTATTATGGATCCTTTGATCGCTATATGTATTACTTGGATAGCTGGTAATTCTCGAGCTAATACATGCCGACGAGCGCTGAGGGTCGGCCGCTCCACTTTTGCACCCTGCTCCCTCTTATGCTGTGCTGGTACCTCTGTGCGACCAGCGCATCTTCCTCCAAACTGCACACGTCACTCGCATGACCTTGATTCCATGTGGGGTCTAGGACCTCATCATCCTTCACATCAAATTCCACCCACTCCTCAACCCTGCCCTCCATGCCAGTATGCACTCTGCAGAAAGCCACAGCAGTTGGCACCTGTGTTTTTCCAGCATGTAAAGTCTGCAAAGGACAAATGGAAATTGTTTTGGAATTGTATCCAGGCAGTTTTCCCTAGAAACTGACCTCTCAGTTTGACTTGTGAGGGTATTGCCCCAGATCAATATTGTTGAAGTACTATTGATCACTGGTTTAACTCCTTAAGGACACATGACATGTGTGACATGTCATGATTCCCTTTTATTCCAGAAGTTTGGTCCTTAACGGGTTAAATATAGCAGCTTGTTATCTGGTAGTTTCTAGTGTAGAAAATATCATTCTGTTTTCTATCACTTAGATCTGTGTAACAAGTGTTGTAGGTGTGAAACAATATTACAAGTGACCGATGTAGTAAATTCGAATCAAAGTTACGCTTCGATTTGACTCTCAGATATGAAGTGAACACCACAAATATACTATTTAGCACCAGAAAATTTTTTGGGGGACTTTTTAAAACTCCAATGTAAGCAGCAGATTAGCAGCAAAACAATTAGAATGTTTGCAACTGCGCAGTAAGTGCACTATTTGACTCTTCTATTTGACTCTCAGATATGAAGTGCAGGCCGCAAAATGTACAATTTAGCAGATTAGCACCCAGAAAATAAGAATGTTTACAAATGCGCTGTAAGCACATTATTAGACGCTTCTATTTGACTCTCAGAAATGAATTGCACGTCCCAAAATGTACTATTTAGCAGATTAGCAGCAAAACAAATAAAATATTTACAACTGTGCAGTAAGCGCACTATTTGACGCTTCTATTTGACTCTCAGATATGAAGAGCAGGCCACAAAATTTTACAGAAGCTTCAACTGTCTAAGAGTTGTGCTACGAGCTTTCTTTTCTACTGTTAGAGGTAAGATTCATCTGTAGGAAAAGGTTACTGATTGCCCAAGGTTTGAATTCCTGTTGGTAATTATAAGGCATTTGATTTGATTAAGCTAGTTACTTGCTGTTGATTGCTGGTTAATTAGCTATTGTTTGCAAATAAGCAGAGACCTAACCAGGTGTTAATCATTCCTAGTGGGCGGTGATTTAAGGAGTTATATAAGGCTTGGTCTCATTAGCTTGTCTAATATAGCTTGGTGCTACTTCTAAGTGCTGTTTCTAAGTGTGTAGTTGGAGATATTCTGGAGAGTTTTACAGAAGCTTCAACTGTCTAAGAGTTGTGCTAAGAACTTTCTTTTCTACTGTTACAGGTAAGATTCATCTGTAGGAAAAGGTTACTGATTGCACAAGGTTTGAATTCCTGTTGGTAATTATAAGGCATTTGATTTGATTAAGCTAGTTACTTACTGTTGATTGCTGGTTAATTAGCTATTGTTTGCAAATAAGCAGAGGCCTACCCAGGTGTTAAACATTCCTAGTGGGCGGTGATTTTAGGAGTTATATAAGGCCTGGTTCCATTAGCTTGTCTAATATAGCTTGGTGCTACTTCTAAGTGCTGTTTCTAAGTGTGTAGTTGGAGATATTCTAGAGAGTTTTGCTTTTAAGTGTGTAGTTGGAGATATTCTGGAGAGTGCAGTTTCTAAGTATGTAGTTGGAGATATTCTGGAGAGTGCTGTTTCTAAGTGTGTAGTTGGAGATATTCTGGAGATAACCTGGAGGTTATCTGAGGTATTCAGGAGGATAAAGAAAAAAGTTAGGATTTGTTAGATTTAAATTATTCTTATAATTGGAATGGCAGGCTTAGTTCAGTGTAACAAATGCTATGCATTTGTTTCACGTTCCACTTTTTGGAGGTTTGGTTGTTGTCTAATCTGTAGACAGTTCTCTATCTTGCGGCAGGAGATTGTATTTTTGAAGTCTGAGATTTGTAAATTATCTGGTGAAGAAACTCAGACTGGAACTGCTGCAAAGCCACTGCCGCAGAGACATGCTAGGAAAGGCAGATGGATTACTGTAGGATGTGGTAGACTTAGAGTTGTGGATAAAAGGTATTTTGCACAGTCTGTTGCTCTTCATAATTCATTTTCTGCACTTTCAGAGTGTAATGGTGTTGTGGAGAGAGGCACTGAGGCTAGTGGTGTTGTGGAGAGAGGCACTGAGACTAGTGGTGTTGTGGAGAGAGGCACTGAGACTAGTGGTGTTGTAGAGAGAGGCACTGAGGCTAGTGGTGTTGTGGAGAGAGGCACTGAGGCTAGTGGTGTTGTGGAGAGAAGCACTGAGGCTAGTGGTGTTGTGGAGAGAAGCACTGAGGCTAGTGGTGTTGTGGAGAGAGGCACTGAGGCTAGTGGTGTTGTGGAGAGAGGCACTGAGACTAGTGGTGTTGTGGAGACCGACTTGGAGACTATGGTGAGGCCTAATAGAAAGCAGTTGTTGTTGGGGGATTCCATTGTAAGAGGTGTGGAGATGGACAATGGTGGTCTTGTGAGGTGTCTTCCCGGAGCTACTCCTCACAGAGACAGGAGACGTATCTGTAATATTGTTAAGCAAGCAAAGCAGGAAGGGGAATTGGATGTACTTGTCCATCTAGGGACAAATGACTTGGCTTGCAATGAGGTTTCAGAGGTTAAGGAAGTTTTAGTGTTTTTGCCATTGATATACGGCAGGTTGCTTCCACACTGTCATTCTCTGAAGTTCTGCCTGTGCATAACACTCAAAACGACAGGCAGATGCATATTAGGGACTTTAACTTGTGGCTTGGTGAATGGTGTCGGGAGCAAGGATTTGGCTTTATTTCTCATGGTAGCTCTGTTTGGAATGGAGATAAGCTGTACAAAAAAGATGGTTTGCATCTTTCTCAAAAAGGAACAAATGTTCTCAGTGAGCAGTTCAGAGGTTTTGCTAGGATGTATTTAAACTAGGGGGGGGGGCAAAAGGGTGATAAAACATCAATCCAATTGTCCCCCAAAACAAGGACAGAAGGTGCCTGTAGCAAGTGTGTTAAAAATGATAAGCTTAGAGTCATGTCTACAAATGCTTGCAGTTTAGGGAATAAGATCCATGAACTTGTGGCAATAATGGCAACTGATAGTGTAGATTTAGTTGCTGTTACTGAGACATGGTACAATGAGAAAAATGACTGGGACATAGCAATACCAGGGTACTTTTTATATAGGAAAGATAGGGAAGGCAAGAAAGGGGGAGGGGTGGCCTTGTATGTGAAGGATAGCATAAAATCTAGCCTAATAAAAGTTAGTGAGGCAAACATAGAGTCCGTTTGGGCTACGTTAGAATTTGGTAATCACAGAGTAACTCGTGTAGGTGTGATTTATAGGCCCCCAGGACAAATTGAAGAGTTAGATAATCTACTAGTTGAGGAAATAGCTAAAATGACAGTGAAGGGGGAAGTTATCATCATGGGTGACTTTAATCTTCCTGATGTAAATTGGAAAACAAAATTAGTTACTTGTGCCAGGAGCACACATATTCTAAACTCCCTACTGGGATTGTCTCTAAAACAAGTTGTTGAGGAGCCAACTCGTAAAGAGGCCATACTAGATTTAGTGTTAACAAATGGAGATTTGGTGTCAGATGTTACTGTAGGTGAAAGTTTAGGATCCAGTGATCATCAGTCAGTGTGCTTTAATATAAGAACAGTGACTGAGTCACAC